ACTGTATTCTTCCTTACACTTACAAACAGGATTTCAAATATCTGGCAAACGCTTGGAATATATTAAGATTTGCCAAAAAAGAAACTAACTAGTTCCCAAGTTCTAAATAATTACAATCATAACTCACTAAAATTCATATTCCAATCTTTTTTTAAATTACAAGTTATAGAAAAGCAAAACCTTGCAACTAGTGAACCTTTGGCGATCTCCTTGGGGCTAATTAATTATTTTGGTAATTAGCAGACATAAATCATCATAACTGAACCTTCCACGTTGTGGTTGGGCAATAGAAAGTGGTTTGGGTCAGTGACTTTCATTCTCTGACATGGTTTGCAGAAGTCTTTCTGAATGGATTAGGAGAAGAATATGAATAGCTTTTTGAGATATGGTTTTTATAATGTTTTCTGTACCCAAAACTGGGGCACAGAGAGTGGAGTTTGTTAGTCTGTGAACTTCGCATTAGGGAAAGAGTAAGTACTTTGATAAAGTAACTGCTACTTCAGGAGGCTCAACCTCCAGCCCTTAGTGCCATGTCATTTGGCCCACAGGGTCCCCCACGGGTCTGGAAATGATAGCGGGAGAATGTTGCCACTGGTCCCCTGCTGCCAAATTTCCAGACCCATAGGGCGCCCTGGGCTTTGAATGCTGCATCCAGCACCCAATCCCAGAACACTGGACCAAGTGAGAGCAGCACTGGGCTACCAGGACCCAGTCCTGGTGTGCAGGGATCTGGAGGGGGCAGTGTTGGCTCCCCAGTACCCAATCTCGGTGTGTGGGGGGCCAGAGGAGGCAGTGCTGGATCTCAGGGCCTGATCTAGCCCACAGACCTCCAAGCTCACAGATAGGCTCCACACCACTCACCTGGCCTATGGGACCAACAGGTTAAGCACCACTCTGCTAGTTCATTCAAGATCTAGAACTCTGTGAACTCTTGCCTTGCGAGTTTCATTCTTGCTTGGAAGGTTCTAGAGCTGCACATATTAATATATATATAAAAAAGAAGGGACACTCTGATATTAATCACTGACTAGGTATGACCCCTGCCTTGCTAGTACAGCTGCTCTTGCAGTTTCTTGGCCTCTCTTGCACATCCAGACACAGAAAGTATTAAAAGCAGGTTGACTCTTTGGGTTTTCCTTTTATATGTTGGAGTCTTCATTTTCAGAACATCTCCAATAACCACCTTGACACAGAAGGAGCTGAAGCCATCTGCCGGATGCTAATGGATAATATTTCCTGTCTACGGGCCATTCGGCTCTCAGGTGGGTTCCTTTTCTCCTAGGGGGTGATAGGTGTATGATAAAGTACTAGTTTACATTTCTATAGTAATTCCCCCCCACAAAGCACATTCTAGATCTCTATTAAGTACTCTGTGTAAATGCACCGCAACTGTATTGAAGTTAGATTTATATTGGTGTAACTGAGATAAGAATCTGGCCTTGTATACACATAGTGACTTTAACTACAGCCACCTCTGAGCAATTTAGATACGATCCTCATCTGGGCAATGTTTTAGTGTCCTGTGGGCCTGAGACAACGCTAGTAAAGTGGTCAAAGAGAAGAGAAATAGAGTACCTCTCAATTAAGCCCTAAAGCCTAGAACATATTCCCTAGAGAAGCTGTGGAATCTGTAAGATAAATGCAAGTTAGACAAAAATACGTTTCTGATGGTTTAAACAGAGATGATCCTGCCTTGACTTGGAGGGTTGGACTGGATGGCCTCTTGAGGCCCCTCAAGCCCTATTTTCACAAGGTTCTATGAGAACCCTCTTTGTTCTGCATTGCAATGAGGTGCCAGTCCAGCCAAACCAGAAGGCTGTTTTGGATGCACTGCAATGTACCAAAGAACTCTGCACTTTGTTAACAGGCTCTTCTCCTCTGCAGGAAATAACTTTAGAGAGGAGACCGCACCATACTTTGCTGAGGCACTGCTGGTGAGTAACCTAATGCCACTTGCAGTCCCTTCTGTAGCTAGTGCTACCTCCATCTTAAACCTCTTCCTTTCTCGGCTTGATTGCCCTCAGCACGTCCTAGCAGAATTATGATGAGTGCTTCTTACTCGCTTTAGAAAGGAGGCAGGTTGAGAGGCCATGGAGAAGTGGCCACCATGTTCATGTCTTCTTAGGACAGCCTTTTGGAATCTGTCTGAGAGATGAACTCACTAGGGTACATAATGGGGTTATAAAAGGGAATCTGGGTGTTGAAAAGCTTTCAAGAAACATAATGTTTTCCAGATGTAAACTAATAAGTGATCCTAAAGCAGGCATAAAGATCTTTTAAAGAAAAGAGCTCATAGATGTAATGCTAAATGGAAGAAAATGGGTCCTAAAGACAGAGGACCTTTCTGACCATGAGGGAGGTCTAGTATTGGAACAGGCTAAATAGAGAAACTGTGGAATCTCCTCCTTGGAAGTTTTCAAGAGCAGGTTAGATGCTTGGCTGGGATGGCTTAGTCAGGGATAATCCTGCCTTGAGCAGGGGGCTGGACTAGATGACCATGTGAAGTCTCTTCCAGTCCTACTTTCCTATGATACTACATGATCTGACTTCCAATCATTCTGAAGATCACAAGGGAAAATATTAGTGCCATTTGCAGTCTAGCCCTATCATGAAGTCAGTACACAGTTTGGTATGCCTGGAGGTTTCTGCTCTGAGGGGCCCAGGATCTGAATCTGTAACAAGAAGTACTTACTGTAGGACAGAAAGGCTGTGGGACATTGACAGGCGGGGGGAGGTGATTTGTAGGGCAGGGCTGTAATAGCAGAACGCACAGGACAGAGGTGCACCAGCAGAGCTACAGGAGTGCAGTGTGCTCAGCCTGAAGTGCCACTGTTTATTCTTTTTTATGAGAAAAAAATCAACATTTTATGTGCTAAAAGATCAACAAACCTTTGTTATGGGAAACAAAACTGCCTGCCTCCAAGCTAATAAGCTACAGCATGCTAGAACATTCAGCAGTTCTGGATTTCATCCTCTCCCAGGGGGTCTTAATATGGAAGCTGCCTGCCACAGGGTGGGGTGGAAGACTTAATTGTCTCTACACCATGTCTCTCTCTAGGGCAATTACCGAGTGAAGGAACTGGACCTCAGTCACAACGAGTTCTCTGAGAAGGGAGGAGAGCACCTAGGACAGATGCTTGGTAACCCTCTCATTACTTCCCCAGAGCCAGCTGCATACAGCTTAGGCACTCTCCCCATGAGGGGCCATCAGGGAGCATTAGGGGTCAGTGCCATTGCTAAACTGAATCTACCACTTGTCTCTACATTCTAGAGGCAGAAGTTGTATGGCCTGATGACCAATGCAAAGGACTGGGATCCAGGTTCAACTCTCCTGGGTGGCCCACTGACCCATCTTGAAGTGCTTATCACCCTGGAGGACTTATACAGCTTCCTTGGAACAGAGATTTTCCAATATACCAAAGCCCAAGTATGGGACATGACCCATAATCAAGGACCAAGCTAACCAGGAGGGTGGGCAGCTTAAAGAGGAAGAGCCAGGCCAGGAGGTTAGAGCAGAAACAGTGGCCCTAAAACACAGACAAAGTCTCATAGGAATGGGGGGGGAGGTCTGTGCATTATTATTTTTCAACTAAAACTTTAAACATTTTTAAATGCAGTTTCAGGGGCCAAATTCTTAAGCAACTTTGGTAACCAGAAAAGGAAAGTGATTAGAAATTAAATTAAAGTGAACTTCACTGTTTGCCTTGTGAAATCCAGAAGAAAGTGACAGCCTTGAGGTCAAAAAAAAGATGAAGACCCACCCAAGCCTAGCAGCCCCTCAGGTTAATATGGCTAAGGTGCACTAACTGCTATAGTCAACAGCACATGAGGGAGTGATGTGGCCATGGCCAGCATCCCATCCAAACCTCATAACCCCCCAAACCAAAAAAACAGGTATCCATTACATCTGGGCTGAGAAAAAGATTCTGATGAGGAAAAGCAAATTAAATAATTTAACTCCTACTGCTGTAACAATTTATGATGCTATTAATGGTTTACAAGGAAGGACCTTTACACATCTAATGTTCATGTCTCTCAGCCATTTCACAGTGGCCCTTAGGCAGCAACTAATATGTATTTTTTAACCATGTGATACTCCTTTCAAGTTACCCTGAAATCTTTTCTTTAATTGAATGAACCTCTTAATTTCCCCGAATCAGCATTGCCATTAACATGAATTTACTGTTGTGATCAGCTCAGGTCTTTACATTTAGTCCTCTGATGGCAGCAAGGGCTGCGCTTGTGGCTCAGCTAATAGTGCAGAACAGCACAGTCTAAAGGTAAGCAGGGATCTTCCCATAGCAGGAAAAGCTGTGTCCAAGCCCAGCTGTCCTGTGGAAATCGATTTTCTTCCTTCCAGGTCAACTGAGGTGTCACAGAGTTTTGAAAAAAAGTTTGCAGCCTCACAGCTGCTGTGATCCAAACTGCCATCCTCAGAGAATTATAACAACATAAGAACCAAGTGCTGGCAGAGGCCTCCTTGCTCGCCAACAGTCACACACCCTCTTATCCTCAGGCAGGGGTGACCAACCTGCAGAATGGATGCCCCAAGTGGTAAGGGCAGACAGTGCGTGGCCCGCAGCAGATTGGGGAGGGGACAGACAACACAGCAGGAGATAGAACGGGGAGCAGAAAACAAAGCAACACTTGGTCAGGGAGCACAGGCCAGGGAGCAGAAAGCTGAGCAGCAGAAGGGGTAGGGGAAAGAGATCAGAGTGGCACTTGAGGAGGGTGCTGGGACGATTTTGGCACACCTGCCAAAAAGGCTGACCCTGCTCTCCTAAGGGAAGCTGCCACTGGGTGGCATGCTTTGCATCTGGATTGGCACTGGCACGTGTACAGCTGAACACAACTGCACATATTATGTCACAACTGTTGGCTTGACATTCTGTTTGCTTGCAAATCAGCTGTAGCGAGGACAAGTCTTGTTTTTGGGTGTGGGAGGAAGGATTTCACCCCTCTCATTCCAAAAGCAACATAGAGGACAGAATTCCATTACCCTTTGTGGGTCTCTGTAGCACGTACCTAACTGGCTCTGCAGTGTCTTTCGCACTTACACACATCTGCAATTCTATTACCAATACAGCGTGGAGATGCATGCAACCACACGGTACTGAGCATGTGCACTAGGCTGTGCATTGGGTAAGCAGCCATGTGACCAACCAGGGATCTATACTGGGCATAAATCCTGGAAAAGAACCAGGAGGGATGGCCAGCCCCCAACATTTTAGCTCCAGTAGCTGAGTGGCTAGGGCACATGCCTGAGCCCTATCCTCCTCTTCACCCATTGGTAGACTGAACCCACACTCCTCTAATTTCCCAGCATAGCACTCAAACGACCATCCCACAGGTTAACCCAGTCTATTCTGCGCTGCCCTTTTTGAAGCTGAACCACTGCACCCTGCATTTAATAGTCACTGGATAAAATGGGTGGAGAGTAGTGGGAAAGTTTCTGCCCTACTGGGAGCAGGGTTGCAGTTTAAAATGCAACACCCACTCCCTTTCGAAGGAGCATCCATCTCTTTGAGCCACACAGCTTCAGCTTTGCTCTCTTCCCCTGGGCTCCACTTATCTCCCTGTCTTGATTGCTAGAAATAGGCTGCCTTCTCTTATTTGGGATGCAATATTGGTCCAAAACCTCTAAGATCCAAACTAGTCTCTGTGACAAGTTTCTTGCTTTCTGGGGTCTGGGGAAGTAGATAAGCCATTTGTATGAAAGAATTTGCTCACAATTGTATGCACATTTAAATGTGGGCAAGTCTGTGTTAGTGACTGCATGTACATGTGTGAGCAGGGGAGTGTGCAGATCTTCTTGTGTATGTGTGTATGCGCTGTGTTCTTGCTTATCTTGCACATCTAGCTGTGTGTGTGTTATAGATAATATATATCGTACAGTGAAGACTTGAGTCTCTCTCATGTCCCCCCACTCTGACAATAACCTAAATCTCTCATTTTTAAAATGCATTTCTATTTTTAATGCCAACTAACATTTCAGTTTCTCCTTCTCAGCTAACAATGAAACACTAGAATTCCTAAACCTGAGCTGGAACCACCTGCAAATGAAGGGAGCCATGGCAGTGAGTGCTGGTCTCAGGGTAAGTCCCTTTCCTGGAAACTGGTATGTCTCACCCCAGCTGGAGGCTGAACCTGGGACAGTGGCACATTTTGGCTGAAGAATTGGTCTGCCCTGGCTCTGCCAATAGTTTTCTTAAATCATATCATTCCCTTACTAGCCAATCAGTGCTCTGAATTTGCAAATGTACCAGGCCCTTCTAATTTTGCAATAGAGTTTGGTTTAGACAATACTCAAACCTAGGCACCAGAGAAACAACACATGCCCTCCCCCCACATTCTCTCATCTGATTATAATTTATATCCTAGCAAGGCCCTCCCATTCCTGCAACAGTGCCTCATCAGGGCTTTTCACTTGGCAAGTTTTAGTCAATTTTAAATTAACTGCTTTAGAGACCCCTCTTCCTCAGGCAGAGACATAGATTCCCACTCTGGCCACATGCTCAAATCATTCCTGAGCCCAAGTCTGCCTTGAAGGATACAGGGAGTGGCTGAAATGGTTCATGGAAGGATGCTTGGGCCCATTACCTCTCTTTGCAATGAGCTACTTCACGAGTGCTACCTAGTCTTCTCATAATCACCTCTTTCCAGACTAATATGTAAACAAGAGGGCACTGTGGGAAGAAGGGCCCTACTTAGTGGAAGCCCTTACTGGGAAGCCTCAATTGGCAATGATTGGGCAGTACAGAGACGAGCCTGACAGCACTGGGGGCAAAGCTGGATTTGGTAGCTTATGCAGGTGCAGTCTTAGCTGACACCAACACTACTACAAGAAAGTTCACATCAATGGCACTGGTAACTCATAGAAATGCAATCCCAGCACTGCTAGGAAAGTTTGCCATATTGGGGTCTTGACTGTTAGGTCACACATTGAAGGATGCTGCTATTGTGGGAGTCCCGGCAGACATGAGATACTGCACTGCACTGGGGAACTGACATGAGCAGAAAGTAAAAAACAGCAAAACAGCTGTTAATGGCAGTGTCATTAAGGTCCCAGCTATTTCAGTGCCTCTGTAATGAGGGGAGCAATAGAGGAATGCATCAGCTGGACATGGAATGGCTATAATGCCACCGGTGATCTCTTTCCTCTCTCTGGAGGTCAACGGGACACTGAAGATACTTGACCTGTCATGGAACGGCTTTGGGAATGAGGGGGCTCTGGCCCTGGGGGAAGCTCTCAAAGTAAATAACGTTCTGGTCCAACTGGACATCAGCACTAACCACATCAACAACGAAGGGGCTGAGAAGCTGTGCAAAGGGCTGGAAGTCAATGGAAACCTTAGAATCCTGAAGGTATGTCAAAGTCTGAGCACTGCTGAGGGAAAGAAAGAAATATGAGAAATCTTGAGCCACAGTGATACCAGAACTGAGATGTGTGAGTTGAAAGTAGAAGGGTCGTGGGCTCTGTGCTGGGCCAGAGGTGAGGAGAGTAAGAAACCTTGGTCACCCCAGGCTGTGAAATTATTCCTGTAGTTAGGATAGAAACAGAGGTGGACAATAATGATGAAAAGCCGGTGAACAAGATAATGCAGTTGGGTCAGGCTGGGGTTGGGGAAGCAAGGAACACATATGTAGTTACTGTACACTTATTGCCAAAGTGTGAAATCATCCTCATTCTTACCTATTTCTCCTCCACCACAGATGTCCAATAATCCCCTGACAGTAGAAGGTGCTTTTTTGTTGATCACATCCATCAGGAAGAACCCAAAATCCAGAATGGAAGAGATCAACATCTCAGTAAGATGGTGTTAGGTTTGGAAGAGTCCCAAAACATCTACACTAGAACCTTTTTGGAGCTGCCTGGAGTCTAGAATCAAATCCTTGTAGAACTCTTTGAAGTCTGCCACCAGTTTCAGTTGCAGGCCATTAATGACAAGCCTCTATATGACAACCCTTCTGAAGCCTGTGTGGAAGTTATAAGAGCTCACTCTAGCTCCTGAACAAGAGTATCAATATCATTATCACAGTTAGCTCTACTTAGCCCACTTGTTTGCAGTCTTAGAAAAGAGGACAAAAAGGTAACTTGCCTTGGAGGCTAAAATGCTCCTCACCCCCAGATGTACCCCTCAGGGCAATATTGGGAGAATATGTGCTCAGATGCTACAGTGATTGGTATGTAAAACTTAAAAGTAGTGCTGATTACCAAGTAATTTTATTCCATATTACAGATAACTAAAACAGTTTAAAGAGTGACTCCTGATTTGGGTTATTATGGCTAATATAAGCTGTTTATAAAAGGTCAGTAATCTTAACTAAGCTCCATGAAACCATGGAAACCCTATCAAATATATTACATGGAAGCTGCTGTTCAACAAGTGGTCTTGAGACCAGCAATAAATGCATATTAAGATACTTAAATCCAAATTAAATCCCACTGTTCTCTGTTTGGTAAGATTATCTAATGCCCTCTCTCCAGGAATACATAGTGTATTCCTGGTATTTAACAGGGAACATAGTGTAAATGTATTCAACACAGCCTGGTATTTAACAGGAAAGATTGTTAATACTTTGTATTGCAATAGTATTTCAAGATCCAATTGAAATCGTTATAAGGAAAATTAAAACCTAATCCCTTGATTAATTTCATCTCACTATTTATATAGTCTTAGCGGAATTCTTGCAGAAACTTAATTTCAAATGAATCCAAATACCCTTATTTCATATATGAGGTCTTTCATCTCTCAGAAGTCTTCTGAAGCTGAAATAATTCTTAAAGAGAGTCTTTAAGTTTAAATACAAAAGGAGCCTTTGTCTTTTCTTCTGAATAGTTTTTGGAGAAGTTTCTTCTCTTTTTTTGAAGCTGTTATGTGAGTCTAGCATTTAGATACAGATATATGCAAATATACCTCTCAAAATAATCTTATGCTATTTTAAGCATTTAAGAAAAAACCACGTTTTCATTTTTAAGAAAAAACATGTACTTATAATCAAAAGCTTTCCATGTATTTTCCACCCATAAACAGTCTTCTTACCACTTAAAGAATGAATACTTCAGAATGTCTATAAAAGAAGTTTTCCTATCATTTGTTTTCTAGAAATGCGAGTTTAAAACCAAAATCTTTTTTCATTGCAAAGTAAGGGTACAAACAGTCCATTTTTATTGCTTCTGACAACACATCCTAAGCATTACTACTCCCTACATTCTTGTACATAATCTATTATTTATAGAATTTACAACTGGCAATTAAAGACTCTTTTCAAAGATTTTATGCAGGCATGAATCTCAAGCTACCACACGTACAGGTCACAAAATACAGTGTAAAGGAAAACAATATAAAATGCTTAAGCAAAGTAGAAGTTATAAAACTGTGTTTCAAAATCCTTGTAACCAATAACCATATCTTGGATAATCAATATGGTTTCATCTTCCACAACACTTTGGAAACCTGTCATGCTGATAGAAAGCAGAGGCCTTCAAGCACTTCCTTAACTAGCTTGACATTTCAGATAATTAAATAAGCAACTAACACAAGCATTTGAGCAATCATATTTTCTCCAGGTATCAAGTGTATGAATAGAATTGTAAGTATCTCTTTGAAATGTCAGTAATGGAAAAAGCAAGCTTGTAATAACCCAACAGAGTAAACTAGAATAATTCTGTTAAATAATACTTTTTGTATCAATACTGATATAAAAGGAGATGGTCTATAGGTAACAACACAAAACAATATGAACAAAAAACAATATAAACCAGAATATTGTCTTATCACTGTCCACACTGTATCTACCCTGGGGACAAAGGGCTTCTGCTTGATTTTCAAAAGTGGTGAGTGTCATCGTCATCCCCCCGCAACTCCATTTCAAACTGATAACAGCTGTAGGTGCTCAGCCCCTCCAAACACCACTCTCTCCAGGCAGCCTATAGCACATCCCCAGCAGGTCCGAGGCAGGAAGCCCCTTGAGTATACCCCACCCACCTCTCCCACTTGCAGGCACCAAACCTAAAAGTCATCGGTGAAGCCACTGTGGGGGAGTCCCCAAGGAAAGAGGTGGGGCACCATAGTTTCACTAATGCATTTCACAAAGCAGATAGGATGTGACTTGGGAGAGTCACTGCTGGATGCATTGGGTATGTGATAGAGATATACTCTTATTAGTCTTCAGGAGTTGTGCATCTGGAAACTTTCCATAGCACTATACAATGAAGCAGAGTTTTACAAAAAAGTTCTGACCGTGTTAGGTGTCAGGTAGAAATTCAGACATTTCCTAGATTTTCTTGACTATCTTCAGTGGTTCACATTATTGGAGATAGCAACCCTTCTCACAGTATTTACAGAATGGTTTTAAGATGTTCTCTTCTACAGAAAGCCATGCCAAAACGAGCAAGGTACATTTATTAACCAAGTGGAAAAGGAGATGTCTTAAGTCTCTCCTGGTGACTGAATAGCCCAGCAAGGAGGCAACTGTACTGTAGCTTATCACACATTTGTCCTGTGTGAAATAAATTTGATTGTGGCTTGGTTTAAATGAGCAAAAATATGGTGGGAGTTGAGAAAAAGGCAAGAAAATGTATGCTCAGACTGAAGTACTGAAGACTCTTGAGACCTGCAGTGGGACCCACTAAAGTAAAGTGTTAGGACAAGAGAAAATAAGGGAGAAGCTTAGGAGAGACTGGTTAATATTGACATGAGATGGGGTACATTATTACAGGACAGTACTTGCTTTCAGAAAAGGGTCTAGATGGGCTGGGTGCCTGCACTGATGCAGTGTCCTTTATTCCCTGCCTTAGAATGTACTGGTGAATGAAAACTTCCTCAACCTGCTGGATGCAGTATGTCAGGGGCACCCTGAGCTAGATGTCATCTATGGTGGGGTAGGAGGCTATATCTCCAAAAAGCCAGAACAGCGCCCAGACCCAATGAAGCTGATTCAGGTGAGCAGTTCACTTTGGGTCCTTACTTGGGAGTCAGTATGTATGCTCCAAGGTACTGCAAAGGGAGGTGAATTCTCTTTTGAACAGAAAATTCAGCGCTCTCTTGAAGGGAGCATACAATCTCCGTCTGTCTTGTCGAAAAATGGAATATTCAATATCAACAAATCCCTCTCATTTTGGGGGAAAAAATATCATCTGAGGATTAGAAATTTCAAATGGTGTACAGAAATATTTTTTCTTAACATCCAGGTTGATGGTTTGAATCTCTTTCAGGTAACTAGTGATTAAAAGTCATTAGTAGCAAGACTATTTCTGTGCCTTTGTATAATATTACATCTTTCATCCAAAGATCAAGGCATTTTGTAAAAGTAGGTCATTATTCACTCTATGTTACATATGAGGAAACTGAGATAAAAAGATGCTAAGTGATATGCCCATTTTCAACCAGCCAACTGAAGAAGTGGGAATATCACCCCGCTCTCCTGTTTTCCAGTTCTATGCTATATTCTCTTGAGAGTACCACCTGCCATTTCAATCAGAGTGATGTTTGTTGAGCTGTATGAAACAAGTTGATGGATCTCAGTTCAGCAACTTATGAATCGATGTTCAGCATCACAAAACCTACAACTCTAGTTAACTTCCATACAACTCATGGTTGTCAGCCCAGATCTATCTTCAAGTTGAAATGTTCCCTGTAAAAATTCCATTATACATATTATCAGCAAATACTGGTGTTACCTGAAGCATCAACTACTCAGTTATTTCCAAAGCCTGTAATTTCTACTAATAACAGCAGATGGCACCATTCCCCTTGTTGGAACCAGGCAGCCAGGAAATCAGACTTGGCAATACAACTCTTTTAAGCTCCAACCAACCTGATGGCATTCCCATGCTGCTTAGCAAAGTACTAGCCAGTGGCCTTTGCAATGCTATATTTGTGGCTTGGTATGAATCTGACTAAATAACTGGGTGGTTAGCTTTGGGCTGCTGTGGCAACACAGGTTAGGTAGGACAGGCCTCTGGGAGCTGCAGTCACAAAAGTGACTGTTCTGTAGACATACACTGACACAACAAAAGGAAGTTAGGGAAAAGCCACAAAAATGATGAGACATCTTAAGTGAGAGACTGGACTAAAAAGAAAGATCCAAAGAACTGAGCATATACAGTTTGGTCAAAGGATGATGGCTTGCATGGGCTCAAAATGTACAAGCATGTGAAGGAAAAAATGTGAGGTAGAAGCATTGTTTAGAGCTCTTCCAATTGAGTCTAACTAACAGGAGTGGGATAAACTTGAGCAAAGAGAAATTTTGCCTGAATATCAGCACAGTGCATTGATTTTAGTTCTTAGGCACCACTCTGGTAAGTGCCATAGAGGTACCTAGACAGACCACCAGGGACAAGCCTGGGAAATGGAGGCGAAAGTTGCACTATTTCAGTACATGGTTGCAATTTTGTTTTATCTGTTTCTCTGCTTCTCAGAACTACTTGAATGAGCGCAAGCTGCGACTTCTGGATTTCTTTAGGACCATGGACAAAGACGGAAGCATGAAGATCCCAGTGGCAGAGTTCCGGAAAGCCATGATGCAGGTGAGCTTCAGAAAGAGTGTCCTGTAATGCTTCCCAGGTAGGGTATTGCTATGAGGAGGCTCCCACTACTGATGACCCCATCTGGTACTGGCTGGGCATGTCGACATGAGATGATTTACTGTGCGGTAGAACAAATTACTGCATAGTAAGCATCATTGTCTACACATGCAGACCCTTACTGTGCAGTAATTTGCTCTACTAGGCAGTTAATCTGCTACCTGCAAATGCAAGTACCAAATTAACTGCCAAGTAATTAACGTGCAGTAAGGCATGTGCAGGGGAAGCATAAGATTGCTCTCTGCCCCTAGAAGCTGTTTGCTCCCAGGGTCGACTCTGCCACCAGAGCCTGGGCAGGGACTATGTTTCCATGCCCCACCAGTAGGGCACTCCCAGCCCCATGCTTCAAGATCGCAGAGCAGAAGCTGGGAAATTGTTTCCTGCCCCCGCTCTGTGATTGGAATTGTGGGGTGGGAGCTGGGAGACTGTCCCCTGCCCCTGCTCTGTAATTGCTCCCTGGCCCAGCTCCACAATCGCAATCTCCCAGCCCCCACTCTGCAATTGTGGAGCAGGGACAGGGAGCTCCCTGCATGGAGACAGTTCCCCACCCAGCCTGGAATTGGCTGGGACCTGCCCCAGACCAGAACAGTTCCCAGCCAACTCCAGGTTGCATAGGGAAGTCTGCAAAGGCAACCTGGAGCACGTGCAGACTTCCCCACACAGCCCAGGGTTGGTTGGGAACTGTCCTGGACAGGAGCAGGTCCCAACCCTGCAGCTCTTTCTCGGCCCTGTGTCTTGATCAGGCAGTCATGGCATGGGGCTTGGAAAGAGCTGTGAGGGAGAGGCAGGTCCCAGCAGGTCCCAGGGAGCTGCCTGATGTTGGGGCAGTCTCCTGGCCCTGGTTCCCCAATCAGGGGCGGGGAGCTTGGAAAGAGCTGCAGGTGAGGCAGGTTCCAGCCCCCTGGCCCTATCCACTGGTGAAGCAGGTAGCAGTAAGCCCCACCACCCAGCCAGGGGCTCACTGCTAGCTGCCCCACTGGTGGATCGGACCAGGGAGCTGAGACCTGCCTGCCTTGCAGCTCTTTCCAAGCCCCCAGCCCCTGATCAGGGAACTAGGGCCAGGAGCCTGCCCCAACAGCAGGCAGCTCCCTAGAGCAGGGAGCAATCTCTCAGCCCCCACTAGGAGACAGCTCTCTGCTGTTAGCTCCCTGCCAGACCCTGAGCTAGCACCCAGGGGGAGCCTAGAGCTCCTCCTGACTGCTGCAGGGGGCTGGTACAGCACCAGAGTGAGTAGGAGCAGACTGCTGCCAGGAGCAGCAAATCTGCTCCCAAATGGGAGATGCTTGCCCAGGATGGGTTTACTCCAGAGTAAATTTGGAGTAAACCCATCAAGCAGCATTTGCACATGTAAATGCACCCCTTGAGTCCTACTGGGCACATCTACACATCACTGTACAGTGATGTTGCTACGGCACCATGTTTTAGTACTTCCTTTTGGAAGGCATGGTGCAGTAACCACCTATACTGTGTCATATATGTGGCACATGGTTAGGTTTCACTGCTACTTTGCCATAGCAGTGTGCTAAAACTGGGGAGCGCACCACTATGGCAAAGTAGCTCCCAATCATGTGTTGACTCACTTGATCACTACATCACCACAGCGCGCCATACAGTGATGTAATGAGTTGCTATGGTGATGTGGGGCAACGTGTAGACACGCCCACTGCGTGGAAGCTCAGAGCACCAGGTTACATCAACATGTACCATGAGAAAAACTAACCCTTGAATGGAACCCAAAGGAAATACCAAGCAACCAGGTATCTGCTGTGGACGGCGCAAAAACCTGCAGATCTACTTTGGAATAACCTGGTAAGCATGCAAATCCAGGTCAACTCCTCCCCTTCCCACCCCTGCTTCTCCTAGGTATTTAAGAGAAATATAGAAGATGAAAGGAAACTGGTTGTGTGGGGGTATGTCTGTTGGATCCTAACAGATGACTCCTCCTTGGTGCTATAGGACAGAGAAGAGCCACTTGAGTTTTGACCATAACTCTGGTGACTGGTTCAACAGGGACCTGTGAACATATCAGCACCTTAACTTGTGGATAACCTTGCAAGCAATGGGTGTCCAAATAATTCCATTTAATAGGGCAGATTCTGTTATTCTGTGAAATTCTTCCATCCCTTTGCAGGTACTCCAGGTCACTTGCCTAGTGATTAAACTGTGAACAGCTCTCATACAGCTTGGTAAAAGGTAACCTCTGTGCCATTTCCAGGATTTCTAGAACTACTCATGTCACAGCCCCAGCCAGCCACAGGGTGGTGATGACCACAAATTTCCTTTCTCAAATCTTTTCACAGCAATCAAGCATCCTCCTTGATCGAGCCCAGATTAGGGAGCTGGTGCAGAAGTTGGATGGGAATCGGACAGGGGTGGTGGACTACAGGTGAGGGAAGTGCCTCCTTCCACCTTCATCCTGTTTTTACTTTATTTGGCTCAGTTTGTATCAATGAACCTATCCTAGTTTAGCATGTGATGACAGGACCAGAACACTTGGGTTTTGTGACTGTAGGAGCCATCTGACTCTGTAATATGAATACAAACTACCTTTCTGAGTAGCCTGCAGCTGAGGTTACCTGTAATAGGTTCAGGAGCCTTCCTGCGTCTGGCCAGAAAGTCTGTATTTTTCTCTTCCCCCGCCACAAGATACTTCTGGGAGCATGCATCTCACAGCAGCAAAACACTTTCACTGGAGTCCTATAGTAGTAATGTGGAAGTGAAAAGCAATTAAACTAAACAGACAAAGCTGTTAGGAGTTACAGGACAAGTCACATATCAAAGGAAAAAGAATTGCTCCTAGATTTGCAGTTGGGTTTTATATGCGAGTTATGAGCTGAAAACCCTGATAATTTTCCTCGAATACTCCCATCTCTCAGACTTCCATGGATTTAAAATATTCCATGTGGAAGCCTAGAGTTGAAGTCTCAAGTGAATGGATCTATTTTTCAAATATTAATCTATCCCTCGGCTTTTGGCCATGCTGGACTGAATGCGTCTGCTCTTGTCTGTTGTTGGAAGCTAAGAATTTCCAAGTCTTGCTAGTCTTTGTAGGGGAGACCACCTGCGAATCTTGGGTGATATAGACATAAACTGAGAAGTTGTAGTTGAATTACCTTGGTAACTATTAGACCATGAAGAATTAATGAGTGGAAAGGGTTAATCTGGCCCTGTTGCTGTTATTGAGCTGATGGACACCAATGAGAAAAGAGGTTTCATTCTTTACCTGGCTGGGTCTGCATCACTGCTATCGCCTGTGCCATAAGTGTTACTCTCACATCTATACATGAGAGAAGTAGGGCCAGGGGAGTTATGATCTTTTTAGTATAGGATGTTCCCTTCTCAAGAGTTTCTTCCTGGCCCTCATACCAACTCTGAGTCATTAGAGAGAAGGAGAGAGGTTTGTTATACTATCTTTATATCACAGTTATTTCTTCCTTCCCCTTTTAAATTAGTTATTTAAAAGAGCAGAAGCCTAAAGAAGAGGAGAAGGAAGAGCCCTAGGGAGAAGCCAGGAGACAGATCAGCTCGTTAAAGATAAAAGGAGAAGTGCTGGAAGAAAGATAAGATGAAGTGAACCTTGGCTTGAGGCAGTAAAGGATCTAGGAGGGGTTGATAGTCAGAAATATTGGATCTAAAAATTAAAGTTTACTCTTGCTTACTCATCCAGGCCAGATTTGTGAATGCGGTGATATGGTCCTGTTGGCTAGGAGAGAATAGTCCAATGGGAGGCCCTGTACAGTGTATCTTGTTTCACAGGCTGAGTCCTGAATTTATTCCCACACAGGAAGGGGGAGGGTTTTCAGGCACAAGTTGGGTGACATTATATCGGGGCGGTCAACTATTTCGGGCGGAGGTCCGCTTGATGAGTTTTGGCGAGTTGTCGAGGGCTGCACGGGTAGCCCCGCCCCTTCAGATACCCCACCCCGGTCGCCATCTTGGGACCACAAGTCCCGCCCCCTGACCACTGACCTTTGTCGCCAGAAGTCCCTCCCCTTGCCCAACTTACCACGTAGCAAGGGGTTGTGACCCCTCTAACATCCTGCAGCAGCAGTGGTGTTTCAGGAGCATCAGACCTCCCCCAGAACGTCCCCCTACCTGTGCCAGCTGGTCCCGAAAGGAGGAGGCTCCGCCGCTGCTTCTGCTGGCCAGTGCCAATCAAGTCGGGCTCGCCCCGTCCCCTGCAGCACGTGAGAAGCTGGCTTCAGCCACATGCTGCTCCGGATGGGAAAGACCCAGCCGAGTCTGCACCGGTCAGAAGAAGCGGCATGCAGCTGAAGTCGGCTTCCCACGTGCTGCTGGGGACGGGAGGAACCCGGCCAGGTCTGCACCAGCCCGCAGAAGTGGCGGTGGAGCCGTGTGCCGCTCGGGATGGGACGAGCCCGGCCGGAGCGGCAGGGGCTCAGCTGCACTTTCTCGCTACCTGCACCGGTCAGTCCTGAGCAGCAAACAGCTCCGCTGCCGCTTCTGCTGGCCGGTGCAGACCCGGCCGGGCCCCTCCCTCCCCAGGAGCATGTGAGAAGCCGACTTCAGCTGCATGTCGCCTTTCTTGGCCGGTGCAGACCCAGCTGGGCCCCTCCCTCCCCAGCAGCATGCGGCCGAAGCCAGCTTCCCACGTGCTGCTGGGGACGGGGTGAGCCCGGCCGGGTCTGCACCAGCCAACAGAAGCGGCTTGGCGGGCCGGATCCGGCCTGCGGGCTGGATTTTGCCCACCCCTGCATTATATGCTGCTCTTGTCCCTGTTCTGGTGCGGCATGATCAAGGTCTGAATGAAGAACTGTGCAGACCATCAGCTTTCTCTCAATAGCCTTGATTCAGGGACCCTAAAGAAAGGATTGAAGAGAGGAGAAACCCTAGTTAATGCTGCCCAAATAATTAAAATAAATATGGGTTGCAAGGAAAAATATATCCTAGAAAGAGAGGAATGGAAGGAAATCCATAACAGGTCTAACATTGCTGATGTACGTATGTCCTTAACATGACAAACAGGTTTAAACATTCATCAAACAGTACTGGAAGCTTTGTAAATATTGTTACTGAGAAACAGATAATACCTTGCAAAATTAGTAGAGTCAGAAGATACGCTCTTTTGGATGTTTGGGGAATTACTGCATCACTGACAAATCTTGGGCCCCTCTCAGATGTGCAGGTAAAGGCATGATGGGGTTTGATGCACAATCCACACAGTCACACTTCCTGCCATGGCACACATGCAAAATTCCCATACACAAAAATCATTAAGTAGAGGTAAGACTGATCATACTTATTCTCTCACAATTCCCTGTGCATTAAAGCACAGATGCTATAAGGGCAACAATTATACTAATTCAGCATGTGATCTGTCTCCAAGTTTAGTAGCATTAAGATACTCAGCCCAGTAGCCCTGTACCCTCTCTTGTAAGATTATGTTCAGCACAATAAAATACTTAGTTTTCCACCACTGACCTCTGTGATCTCAGCCTGCCCTTCCTCCAGTAAATTCTGTCCTTCATTTCACAGGACAAAGGTACCTTTGCAAGCAGTTGCTTCAGTCTGACCTGACCGTTCCTCTGCTACCATCAGCATTTCTCAAGCTCCTAATCTAATTCCAGCAGGGGAGGGGGAGGGATATGGAATCATTTAAACTAGGAGCTTGAGAAGTGCTGATGGTAGTGGAGGAATGGTCAGGGAAGACTGAGGTGGCCAGCCTTGTTCTGTTGTGGCAAAGGGCTGAGTCCTTGGAAAAAGTAAAGTCAAGGCCCTGAAACTGAATCTGGACATTGTTGTGCAGAGTGAGTGGACAGGTGGCTGAGAAAACAAAGAGAAAGAGAGAAGCTTAGTGTGTTTAATTTACAACAATAGCAAGCATGTAGCTAATAATCTCCGAACATCATTTCATCATCATGTCTCTGCTTTATATCATAAGTTTCTTCAGCTACTTAGTGATTTTGGATATGCAAGATTGTATACTCTTCAGGATAGGGACTGTTCTCCTCTATGTTTGGAAAGTACCAGGAGTATAGTGGTTGCTCACTGAGTAATAACACTGTAACACAAGGTGGGTAAGTGTGGCATGAGGCCTGGATACTGCCTAAAGAAGGGGTACCAAAATGGGGGGAGTATTTGAACACTCCCCCCCCCCCCCCCCCC